TCATCAACATCGTCTCAGCCATTATTTGTCCACTGCTGAACCCTCTTTCTCCCCCATAGACTACCATAAGTAACGGTCCTAATCCACCTGCATCAATTGACTCCCTGCAATGCAATTAAGGTTGTCACTCCCATCTAGTAGGGGGTATATTGTACATTTTAAATAATTTAACATTTTGCTTTTAGGCATACCTATGCAAGTTCGGTGACAAACTATATTATAGCAAATTACAATCATACAATAATATGGTAACATCGAGCTAGTCTCAAATTGAAACGGGATATGGTATGGTAATAGCAACTCGTGAACTACGCATGATAAATCCGTCAACTTTAAGCTTGTTTGATCTGTCTTGACCGAAACTATAACCCTATGTTGTGCTCAGAGTCTGAGGATTTATTTATTTATTTATTTACGGGAAAATCAGGGCTGTATTAGTGTAAATCGAAATAGTCTAGCATTACAAACATAGTTACTAATAGTGTTGAGAGCGCCACTATTTATAAATTGATTGTTTGTACACTTTTATATATATTTTGTATTTGTACTTTACAAAGGGTTTATTTAGATTTACTTAATGATTTGTGCGGAGATACAATTATTGTTATTTTGTTTTAATTCTAACGTTGATACTAGATGGCGCTCTGTTCTGAAACACGCTACAATTTAATTCCCTGGAAGTCAGGTTCTAGCATTGTAGATTTGAAATATTTAGTACTGTAATAATTTTTTTTTTACATTATACTCATTCTCGTATGTTGTGTTTCATTTTGGGGATTTTTTGGGCTGTCTAATACCGCGGCGCGTACCCCAACAAATAGGTTCTTAAAAATAGTAACAATTTTGTTATTTATGAGATTAGATTTGTTAATCTATTTAGATTAGTATTAATGCACATGATGCAACAGAAATAGGAATAAACAAAATATAAAATGAATGAAAAATAAAACGAAAACTAAATGGAAATACTTGACTAAAGTGTGGCCTTCTCACCAATATAATACAACTTCAAACAGTCTATTAATAAAAAATTGCTTGCTCAGTTGGTCTCTCGCTGTCGTTATATTTTTCGAAAATAAGTCGATATTGAAGGTTTTAGAGAGAATATTAAAGTTGTTGCTAGCTCGTCAAAGGAACGAAAAATTATAATTCGATGACACTGAAGGGACAAATAGAGTAGAATTATGCATTTTAAATTGAAATGGAATGAGATTTATTCGTTTAAAACATAACTGTAATTTCTTAACTAATATTAATATTATAGTTTTATAAAGGTACAATAATTATGCTTTTAGAACTGGGCTCCTAAATAGGTTAATATAATAACCTGTGTTAAGGGGCCATAGTCCCAACCCCCTTTAGTATTATGGGGAAAATGATATAGAGTAATTACAACAAAGCTGTATACATAATTTCATTAGTACATTGAATTGTAATTTGATAAAATTGCATGGCTCTGTTTCGGTTTGAAGGGTGGGATATGGCGTGAATTTACAGAATACAGAGAAATAACACCTGAGTCCTCAGGAATGGCAACGCAGGGGGGGTATCATGGGCGAAACAGTATACTCTGTTATGACATGGTACTGCTCATGTCTATAGGCGACCGTTACCATTTTCCATCAGATGGGCCGTCAGCTTGCTTGCCATTCTAAGTTGTATAAAAAAAAAAAGATTCTTTGCGATTGATTTACTGTCTCAGGCCTGTTATATATCTATATATAATATAAATGTATCTCTGCAGTATAATATAGTGTAATGACGTAAATCAATTTTTTGGCACACTCCTTCATCTTGTACCACTGAAATTAAATAAGTGATTTATCATGTTTCTGCGACTATTCTGTTAAACTGTTCAAGGTATTCAGCCTGCTCATAGTGTCAAAGAGTGTTATTTTAATTTTCTGCTACTTCCAATGGAGATTCCAAATTTACCTTTAGTATTTGTCGTTATGTTACGCGATATCTTCGCTTAATTTCTGAACTGATTTTGGCAACTCTTTTTGTATTCGACAGAGTTAACTCCCATGTTGGTTCCATATTAGCTTTATTACCTTTGAAGTCTGTCTTTTATTTATAAAAGAAAACCTTTACAAGATGGTAACAGTTAAAGTATCCTTTCTAATATTTTAAATGTGAAAGTTGTTTGTTACTTTATAGCGCCTTAACGGATTAACCAATTATTATGAAATTTAGTGTACATGTACTATATGGGCGGGAGAAGAATATTTGCTATTTTTTATAACTGTCAGTAAATATAATTGTTTATAATTACTACTCTCCATCCAAAGGTTGCCTGGAAGAGATTGCTCTTAGCGATAAGGTCACCCATTGTTTTCTCATTGTGATTATTTCTTATAATTATTTATATTTATAATAAGTTTACTATTGTCATCTTTTGGAGGAAACAATAAAGAGTATCTATCTATCTATCTATACCCCGGTCTCACGGACGAAGTCGCGGATAAGAGTTAGTACTGTTTTAATTTTGTTGATAGGTTTTTAAATTACTTGCACTCCAGCCTTTCACCCTTCAAACCGAAACAGAGCCATGCAAACACAAATGTTTCACGGTAGAAACACGAATGGGACAGAGGCGCCCAAGCAAACGACTTCTGTTCAAAATATTTCTCAGATGATATAAAAAGAAATATTAATCCACGGATAAGATGTTTTTCGTACTTATCGTATTGAAATGATGGTTGCGTGTAGTATGCGCCGTGAGTGCGGTACGCTGCGGGCGGAGACGAGACGCAGTGTCGACGCAATGTCGCTCCGGTCGTGCTCGTATCCCAAGGAAGGTCATACATCTGATTTTACACTAGCTCCGTCGCTCTAAGGTCATTGTCAGGGATACCTTACATAATTATTTTCTTATAAATTACGAATATAAAATAATATGTGCGAATAACAATGTTTTCGTGAGCGTGGATCAAAATTGTTAAAAAAAAAATATATTAATTGAAAAACCTCTTTTTTTAGAAGTAAAAGTTCATTGCTACAGTGTAATATTTTTCAAACTATTTATTGCCCACCCTTCCTGTGGAATTTAATTCCAAATCAACGAAATCTGTTAATTAGTTCGCTATGATAGCAAGAAATTGGGTAAAATTTTCTTTTTCGTCTTGTCTAAATAGTATAAATAAAAGTTGCTGACAGCGTCTGTCTATCTCTGCTTACTTCTAAACCACACAATGGACTTTGATACGGGATTTACTGTTATACATTTTTTACGGGAAGTCTGTATGTAGAATACATCCTAATTAATTTTGTATGAGAAGGTAAATTCAATGTTTTGTAATAAATTGCATCCGTGCAAAGCCGTGATGCGTTGCTAGTTATTGACAAATCAATATTTTATACATATTTATGCGTAGAAAAAATCTAAGATCTCTGGTTCGCAACAACAGTTACGCGTCTCATGAAGTATTATCATTTATTTATGTCATAGCTCGCCTGTTTTATATGCATGGATAATCATACGATGCATCCATTTCCGTGTCGCTGTTTGTTTATTCTATACAACAAAAGACAATACTGACTCACGGCTAAAACAATGTTTATAACACGTGTATAACAAAAAAATTAGTGTTTTTTTTTTTTGATGGGTGAAAATGGTATGCTAACCCCGCCTGCGCTAACGGTATACGCTGGCGGAGCACCAGTGAAGGGTGATAGATGAGAATGAAAACAGGCCAGTTAACCCATCATGATGAATTCATCAGGAATTAACCATGATAGTTTCCAGGGAGAATCGCGCGAAGGTCGACCTGGTTGGGTATATTGCTAGCAATGGGATTCTCAGTCTCCATTACTAACAATCCCTTTCCCCCTAAATTACAGTGTTGATATTGTGGTCATAAACATTTGTCAATATCTTAATAATTAATTAATAATTATAAATATTTTTTATTCAAATAAACTTAATAATAAGCATTTTTTTTAAGTAATTTTTTTTTAAACTACCGCCTGGTTCGGAATGAAACTTCAGCTAAGAAGAACGGCAGGAAACAGCTGTTGCTTTTTTATATTTGAAAAATATTAATAATATTTAGTTTATAACAAAAAAAAATATGAATAGATAAAATGACTATCACAAACGTCGTATTTATAAAAAAAAGAAAGAAAATAAAAAGTTATCGAGCTACAATCAATCACAGTATTCTTGAACTTATACGAGTACTTTATAGTTTCATTGATTTGCCGATGCTTTTATGAACGTCAAAAATAAATGTGGTCGGTCCGCTCATTACAAATGCTTCTGCTGTATGCTCCCGGCAAAATGTACGCAATTTATCACAGGAAGATTTTCCAGATTTTCCACAAAAGTCAGCTCGATTCAGCGTTTGCGTAGTTACCGGTGAGGCGAGATAAAGTGAGGATAAAGAAACGACACGGCAAGATTGTTATATATATATATATATATATATATATATATATATATATATATATATATATATATATATATATATATATATATATATATATATATATATATATATATAAAACATTATACAGATGTAGAAGTCGCGTGTTAGGTTTGTCACAATGCAATAATCGTTGGAATGTAGCAAAATACCCAATCTAAGATTACAGATCTGTATGTGTATAATATTCTAGTAACGCCGTGTGGTCCCGGCATAGAATAGGCTACCACCTTCCTTTCTCTTGAGCGTCGTAAAAGCCGTATAAGGGAGGTTGAGGGATGGGCAGCAGCGTCTCTCTTAAGACATTTCTAAAGCCTGACTGCGGTTGCCTATCCGCCTGCCAAGCATGGCAACTATTGGCAAAACTCCCCAAGGAGGAGGGTTATGTTCAGCAGTGGACAGTTAAAGGCTGATGCGATAATGATATGTATAATATGTATTCTATGATGTCCACTGTACTGTTCATGTCTATAGGTGACGGTTGCCACTTTCTATTAGGTAAACTGTCAGTTTGTTCGTTTGTTTGTTCAGCTGCATAGATTTATTTTTAATGATGCATATTTCACCTTGCAGGTCATGGCAAGACACACAAGGACGCGGCGAGCGTCCGCGCGACGCACCCCATACCGGCCGCGTGCGGCCTCTACTACTTCGAGGTCCGCATTGTGTCCAAGGGTCGCGACGGCTACATGGGCATCGGACTCTCCGCTCACGGAGTTAATATGAATCGTCTGCCAGGTGAGTTTAAAGCACTTAGGGAGCACTAGTTTTAGTAGATTACCCTCGTAAGCAGGCCGTTGGGCGTGTTATTCTAAAAGGTCAGAATATGGAGAATGTTTAATTTTTGATCAACTTGAGGAAACAATTTTGGAAGCAATCCATATCTGGCCTCGTGATATCTGAGTCTGATCTAAGCCTCGTTCTGAGTTCGTCAGGATAGTTTAACTGACATCACTCAAACTTATCATCACTGGTACTGCGCCATCGTAAACCATTATCAGTGAAGGCAGGGTTGTCTATTATTATTTTATTTATTTATTCATTAGTACATATATATATATACATGGCGGACTTAATGCTAAAAGCATTCTCTCCCAGTCAACCATAGGGAAGTGTCAGAATACTGGAATGCGTTACTAGTAATTATTGATATACATACATACTAAAATTACATATATACACGAATAAATATATATGAATAACAAATATACTTACACATATATGACATATACTATATTATACACGAAATTGAGAATAATATAAAGCATTTACTGCTCGGATAAAGTAAACAAGTTAGCAATAACGTTTTTTATGAAAGACGGTTTAGTCGGTAGTCTCTTAATGGTATCAGGAAGCGCGTTCCAGAGTATATTCATCCTTTTAAAACAAAACTCATACAGTGCGTTTAGGATTTGTATACGATCGAACAGATGCATAACATTTTTTATATATTGCTATTCTGTCACGTTAAATTGGCGACTTAAGACCAGCCTGATGTGGTGTTTGCATGTTATTACAAATATTTACCAAGCTGCTTAGCCAGTATTGTTAGTATCAGGTGAGAGTATCCTTAAAGGGTAAGACCCGGGCCTGGTAATGGGTTGTTAATGGTGTGTCTATCTTCAGGTTGGGACAAACACTCGTACGGGTATCACGGCGACGACGGCAACTCGTTCTGCTCGTCGGGCACCGGGCAGCCGTACGGGCCAACTTTCACCACCGGCGACGTGATCGGCTGCGGCGTCAACCTGGTCGACAACACATGCTTCTACACAAAGAACGGACACCATTTGGGCATCGCCTTCAGGGGGCTGCCGGTATGATGCATGCATGCGTGCATGCTCCACGCATCTACTACGCCTTTATGTCACGCTATTTTATAGAATAGGTTACCCCTTCCTGTCTTGTGGGTGTTGTAAGAATGAATAAGTTGTATAAAAAAAATATGAATATAATTTTTTAAGAATTTTGTTCTGCTGCTAAGAGCAAAAGTAAATATTTGTCGCCGCTTATGGCAAATAACCATGGTAACTCATTTAGTGCCTCATGGTATTTACCCAGTTGGTGTCTCCCTGTTTGTTCACTAATCGATGGTACCGTTATGTTCGACAGCCCAATCTATATCCGACCGTGGGGCTGCAGACACCGGGCGAGGTGGTGGACGCGAACTTCGGGCAGCAGCCGTTCCTGTTCGACATCGAGGACATGCTGCGCGAGCTGCGCGCCCGCACCCGCCTCGCCATCGACGAGTTCCCGCTGCCCGACGGCCAGGGCGAGTGGCAGCAGGTGCTGCACAGGTCGGTGCTTTGCTGCAGGCTGCTCCCCGTTGACCACCATGTTTTACTCTGTCAGAATCGAGTCGAAATATATACCATGATTATCTTTGCGATCTCCTCAGGTTTTGGTGCTGTTACAAAGATATAATGGTAAATATCTCGCTCACTAAATATATAGTGTGGAGTCGAGCTTTAGATTTATTTGTATCCATGGGCCAGGTTACGAGTGTGCAGTATGTGCGGTGGTTTTTTTTTAATGGGTGATAATGAAATGGTAACTGCACCTGCACTATTGATGTACACTGGCGGGCACCAGTGATTGATGATAGGTGAGATTGAAAAGGCAGGTCAGATAATCAATAACGAATTAAACAAGAATTATTCACAATGGTTTTCAGGGGAAACCACATGGAGGTCGACCTGATAGGAGGCTGCACTGCTAGCAAGGGGGCTATCAAACCCCACGCTAACAATCGCTTTATCCCAGTATGTGTAGTGTATGAGTATTTTTTAAATATTTTCTAAATCATGGTTTTCCAGAATGGTGTCAACATACCTAGTGCATCATGGCTACTGCAGTACAGCACAAGCGTTCTCACGCGCTACCGGACAACCTATAGACGAGGATATAGCATCCATTAAAAACAGACAGAGTGAGTTTATCTAACTATATGTTGTCGTTATAAACTTTGAACTTTTTTTATGCAACTTAGAATGGCAAACAGGCTGACGGCCCACCTGATGGAAAGTGGTAAACATCGGCTATAGACATGAGCAGTACCTCGGACATAACAGAGTATACTGTTTCGCCCATGATACCCCCCACGCGTTGTCATTCCTGAGGACTTAGGTGTTTTTCCTCTGTACCCTGTAAATTCACTGCCATATCCCTTGAAACCGAAACACAGCCATGCAAACATAACTGCTTCACGGTTGAAATACGAATGGGACAGAGGTGTCCAAGCAAACGACTTTTCTGCAATGTCTCCCTCTGGTAAGAAGCCTTTGTCGAGCAGTGAACGGATAATGGCTGGAATGATGATGATGTTAGGATTATTGAGATCGCACTTTTTAAGGAACAGTTGATGATCCCTTATTCCCCCAACTGTAGAGTTAATAATGAAACGATACCTTTTTGTATCCGCAGAGGTGTCAAAACTGGTACTGTCGGGTCGTATCGGCGAGGCGATCGAGCTGACGCGGCGGTTGTACCCGGGACTGCTGGAGCGCGACCACAACCTGCTGTTCCTGCTCAAGTGCCGCCAGTTCGTCGAGATGGTCAACGGCACCGACTCGGAGGTAACCAATTGATATGTATATACATACTCAGTGAAAATAGCATGCAATAGGCCAACCCTTCCTTTCCTGTGGGCTAAGGGAGGGTGAAAGATGGGCAGCAGTGTCCTTCTTAAAATATCTCCAAAGATCCGACTGTGGTTGCCAGCCCGCCTGCCAAGCATGGCAACTATTGGCAAAATTCCCAAAGGAGAGGTTTATGTTCAGCTTTGGACAGTTAGGAGCTAATATGATGAGAGCATGATGCAGATAATCATCGACGTAACGTCGCGAAACGCTTGCGCCCGGTATCTGTTCGATCTTTGGCGCGATTATCTTCTATTGGTTGTAGTTTGGCAACGATTCATTATTTTTTCTTATGTGATGTGCATACATTTAGCGGACGATCTTTTTTTTCTTATACCACAAAGTTGGCAAATAAACATACAGCCCGTCTGATGGTAAACGGTCACTATGGACGCCTGCAACATCAGGGATGTCATGTGTACGTTGCCGATCGTGATGAAACTTTAATATACCCTTTTTAAAGAACCCCATATTGTAGTCTCTAGAGTTTAGGATTTACCTCGGTAGGGAACTCATTTCACAGTCTGAGCGTTCGTGAGAGAAAATTTCTCTGAAACCGCACTGTACGTGACCATTACTGCAATCTGCGTCGATTGTAGTCAATCATGTAACTGCAGATATTGTGCTTTGTTGGACGGGCGGTCTTTGGTTGCCGAAGAGATGCGGAATGTGTCGCTAGCCTAATAGTGTACGTTATCAGCAGGCGTGCGGGGACAAGGCGTGCGGGGCGGCCAGCAACGGCGTCGCCACGTCCGTCATCTCGCACACCTCGCACCCGCACGCGCACGCGCACGCGCATGCACACGCGCACGCGCACATGTGCGCCGCCAACGGACAGGACGTACTCCCGCACACCAATGGTAAGTGCTTAAACACATTTGTTATATTACTTACTGGTCCACTTACGTGTGTTCTTGTAAACAATGTTTGATTATTTTCGAGACGTTGCATGCTGTAGTGTACGAAATTTCCATGATGTGAAAACGTGGATATGTTTCTCTTGTTAAAACAAAGAAACGAGTAACCAATCGATAACATATACGAGTAATCTGTGGGAGGGAAATAACGATTTTCTGAGCGATCAATGAGTGTCAATTTGTGATACAAGTGTTTCTATAAAAACGTGTGCGTGCCGTTGCGTTGCAGGCGTGAGGGAAGAGGGCGTGGGCGGGGAGTGCACGGCGGCGGCCGCGGAGGAGGAGGAGGAGGAGCGGTCGCGGGACGTGGACATGACGCCGCCGCACAACGGCGAGCACGCGCACGCGCATCTGCACACAGGTACCGCGCAGGCGCATTATAAATATAATATCACGTTGGTTTCTTTTAGAAGTTTAGTGTCAAGAATATTGTGAAGGTGTGTATATATATATATATATATATATATATATATATATATATATATATATATATATATATATATATATATATATATATATATATATATATATATATATATATATATATATATATATATATATATATTTTTTGCTCGATGACATCGCTGCTAACTTGTAGAGGGTTAGAGCGATTGATTAACTATGTAATCAATAATACAAAATATAACTATACTGAGCTGGAGTCTCTATATATATATATATATATATATATATATATATATATATATATATATATATATATATATATATATATATATATATATATATATATATATATATATATATATATAAGTTTATTATAAATAGTAATATAGTAGATGCACATAATGGATGCTCAGAACAGTTGGAGTTTTGCGAATCGCAGGTTCGATTCCTGCTTATACTACATATAGGGAATATTATTTCATACATATAAATAAACAATATTAGAGCACTTAATTATGAAATGTGTATGTTTGATATGAAACGAGACCACCCATACAATGATTGACGTGGATTATATAGCCATATCGTGTTATTATATGATATTATAAAAAATATTATATTATATTGAATAGAAATTATGATTATAATATTATTTTAATGTATGTAATTAAACATGTGCCTAATAATTTATCGTGCCTCGTTACGCTATTATCGTATTATTGTTTCGTTCGGTTCAATCGTTATTATACTATAATTTGCACCCCACATCATCCATAATATTTGATGATATAATTTAGTAATCTCATATCTGACCATTATTATTTATTTGCTCTTTGCATTTTAGTTTTGCATGCACGTAATAATATATCTGATATATTAACATTGTTGAATTTGTATATATTTGAATATAATATATAAAATAGTTAGTGGGACGTTATAACAAAGCCATCCCATCCCTGGTTGTTCAGGGAGATTGGTCAGAAAGTTAGTTGCTAAGTAAATAACAACGGCGCGAAATGAAGTCCAAATGAGTTCATTTATAAAATGTTGACCGGACTTTCTTGTTCTAATTACATGCGAGCGATATTGTGGAAATCTAAACACACTATTTTTATTTCATTTTAGACATTATTCTAATGCATGGAAGTATTGCAGTGACTAAATGCAGCTATCTGAAAAGAAATTAAAAAAATTATGTATATGTATATGTGTATATATATATATATATATATATATATATATATATATATATAATAAAACTATAATTATAGACAGTATAAAACTGTTTGTAAATTAAGTAAATTGTCATATGTAATTGTTGATATTTGTTATTAATCGTAAAACGATAAAAAACGTTACAAAATTAAAAAAAAACCAATTCGAAGAACAAATATGAACTGCGGTCGAATTGGTGGTTTCCTCTGGAGTGCTAGTCCGGTTTCCACTATATTGCAGGGAGCAATACTAACACGAGGGTGCATGTGTGGTAGAGAGGTCGCTTCTTCGTCCACCGCTCCTGTAACCACCGCATTAGACAGCATCCACACATCTGCACATAGTCGCGTTTTTATTTTGTCTCGTCGCTAACGCACGTCTCTGTCGCTCTGTCCACGTGGTAGCACGCGTACACACACGGCGTCGCGTGCTCGCGTTACACAGCGACAGACAGTGGCCTGCTGGTCCATTTACATAGATACTTTTGGTGAAAAAAGATGTTAACGTAATGTCTAAGTTGGTTTAGTTCTGCCAACTGTATGCATGTAAAATATTTAAACAAGCGCTATTCATAGATGTTTCTAAATTACATGGCTAAAGTGGAATAAGTAAAAAATAAATTTTGTATTATTTTTCCAGTAAATGTTTCACTCTTGCGAGTTTGTATGTGTTGGAAACGATTTAAAACCCATATAATTAGCGGAATAGTGGGGAAATTAATGCTATTGGAATGCCACTTGGTCCTATTTTCACCATGGTGTAATTGGAAACGCTATTGGCGCGGATTTCTGAGAAAACTGGTTCGAAACCTGTCGGAAAGCATTTTTTTTAATCTTTCATTAAGTTAATCGGTCCGAAACAACTTAGTTTTTGATTTATTAATTTAATAGATCAGTGACTCCTAGAAATGATATTTTTATGTAGTGTACACGACGTGAAACGTGAAATCAAAGCTGTTATATCGCTAATGCTATACTATTCTCTGAAATAAGGTACACATAGTAATGTAAATGGGCCCGTAATTCGCTTTTGGCTAACAATGCATCTGAATCGCTTGCGATTATCGCTCGCGCCGCCGGTTCGCAGCCGGACGTCCGGCGTCCGGAGTCGGACATCCGGAGTTGGAAATAAGAAATTGAACGCCTGATGTTCGATGTCAGATCTCGTACGTTCGGTGTCTGATGTCAGAAATCGAACGTCCGGCGTCCGATGACATAAGTGGGCGGATGTCCGGCACCCGATGTCAGGAGCCGGACGTCCGGTGTCCGGCAGCGGTCGTCCGGCGGCGGGATGACGAGCGCGTGGTTGTAGGTTCGGAGCAGCTGCCGCTGAAGGGCATGCCCGGGGTGACGGCGAGCGTCGCCGCGCTCATGGCCCAGTACCGCGCCGGTGGGTACCTTGCGCCCCATACATACCGCTATCCGCATCCCACATCCCACATCCCCCTCGCTCCTCCATCATGCCAACATGCATCTCTGTGTCGTGCCTCGTCTCTACGGTCGCTGTATATCTTTCACACAGGGTCGTACCTGGGGTTAGTAGATAATTGAAATGGATGCCGGTTATCACTGCCATACAGTTTATTTAAGAACTTTCTCATTATCAGAGTACCTTACTATGACAAGAAATCGGTCTAAAGGTGACGACATACATGGAGTACCATAACTGCCTCAGTGGCGTATTACAATTTGATCATTTACCATTTCATTTGGCGTCATATTATTTAATGGTTGTAAAATAGACACTGAATTGTTTCTTGTAAAAATTTAACATAAACGTGCGTTAGTTGATTAAAGGGAAGAGAAAATAAATAAGATTTGGAAGAGAAGAAGGTACTCATTTATGTTTGAAAAAAATTGTATGGATTATGAAATTACTGAAAATTTAGTAGGAAAAAATTTTATTCAAGTTAATTTAAAAGTTACTATTGTTCTACCGTCTAATTTACAATACTATTTCATTTGTGAAAAATGGCCAACAAACTCAATTATTGCTTTTTTTTTCAAATAAATAATTTTTATTCGAAAATAGTGTCTAACTTTATAGTACAGTTTTTTGCATGAAGTTTATCTTATCAATACTAATATTGACTATAACTCAAAAACTAGTCAATCGATTTTAAAAATTCTTTCACCTAAACATAGCTACATTGTCAGCGAGTAACATAAGCTGTATAGTATTTTAGAAAAATTTATCTACCCGTGCGAAGCCGGGCCGAATCTCTAGTATTTTTTTTTTATTTTATAATTAAACCATAACATAGAGAATTGTTTAAAAAATTGGTTTTAGCCACAACCCTTGATACGACCACGTCAACATTTTTTACCCTTTGATATACAGGACTTGAGAGTCCATTCTTACCATTCTACATTATCGACGCTTGTCTTTATTTTTGCAATTCAGTTCCTCAAAAGCCTTTACATCAGTTAACTCGATGTCGTGCCAAATGCTATACGGCGCTACCTTAAGCTGACGACAGACCTGCGCCATTACAACGTAATGTAACATTACAATGTGTGTGTAACATTCGTGTAGTCACTCGTCGACTATATGTAACATTTATAATCAAATTTTAGGTCAGTCGCTAACTTAGGTCTCTTCTTACCTCGTTTTCGCCCCTGAATGGGTGCCATTCTCTTATCGTACTATCCGTCATCGATAACATCACCAGTCATCATCATCACCATCACACGATGATCACTAACATTCATGTAACAAGTCATGCTACGAGAGGCGTGTAGTAAGTACGTTTTATTATTTTAATGTTACAATAAGTGAGCTCGACGCGACGTAGGTAAGTCTGTGTGTTGTATGATTATTAATTTTACATTTGGACGTTTTTTAACTCGTTTATTTGTATCTATTACTATTTATTATTACACTATGTTATTCTCTTCTAACAGCGACATCTATACAATGCGATTCGCTTGCATGAACAAACGTTAAATTAATTTAATTGCGGTTTAAAATACATTATAACAAGCTTTTGCATGATAGTATAAATTTTTATATATTATTTATTTATATCGAAGTTTACTATTATCATAATATGATATATAATATATATTGAATTACGTATTATGTTGTAAAAAATAATAATACATTTATAATATATTAATTTTAATTCACATGAAAAGGTTTGCTGGAAATCTCTTATTAGAGGTAAATTCGCCTTTGTACATTACATTTAAAATTAATTGTTTGCGTACAATAAAGAATAAAGAACCTTAGATGCATTGCATTACGAATAACATTGTATGTATGTATGTATGTATTATTAATAGTGTCTTGATAATGGTTTCATATAAATGAGAGTGAAACATTCTCTTTTCGATTGGTCGTATTTATGTACTATGTCGTCTCTGTGTTCACATAGATTGGTGTGGTCATATGTCGTGCTACAATAAAAAAAAAAACAAAAAAAAACTATTATCATCCTACAGCTGAGTATATAACAAAAAACCCAGCATCATATATGATTTGAGACAATAAATTTTCCAAATTTTCCACAATAATGTAATTATTAAGACAGCGTCACACAAGTGAGCATTGTTGCTTTATTTTTTTTTTAAATAATTGTTTTACATTATTTTAATAAATTTTGTATGAAAATATTGATAGATAAATAGATACTCTTTATTGTTTCCTTCATAAGATTACAATAGTAAACTTATTATAAATAATTACAAGAAATAATCACAATGAGAAAACAATGGGCGACCTTATCGCTAAGAGCGATCTCTTCCAGCCAACCTTTGGATTTATAAATATATGCAGGTAGTTTAGCCGCCTAATCCAAATAGGATCACTTATGAATTGGGCGGGGAGAACTATGTAAAATTTCACCAAGATTTTTAATATATAAAACAAATCGAGTTAAAAAACGTCAACATTAGCATGTAGTAAGTACAATTTGGTTATTTGGATATTGTTTATTTTCAAATATTTGCTGGCATGGTGGCCGCGTGCGTGGCGTGGTCGCGTGGGCGTGCGTGGGTCGGGATGGGGTGGGTGCATGGGGACATGGGATGGTTACGGGACTACGCATGGTATTCGATGTGAAAGTATCGCTTTTTATTTATTATTGCGTATTATAGTAAGTTTATTTATTAAATCTATTATAAGTACACAAGACGGGGCTAACTGCATGGTCCGGGCGCGTTCACTCGCGTGTTATGTTCGCGCGCACATTTAATACACGATGCAGGTTGTGTTACACCGCTCTACTACAGAATTTACTTATTTTTCTATAATGTACCTACATTTTTGTTTACTAATCTTTAATACGTCGACGGACGTGACGCCAATAGTTCAGCTCGCTTACTTGACCGATTGTCGTAAGAAGTACAGTTGTTCGATATTTGAATTTTTAAGAAAAAGGTGGTCATAAACAATGTTGTTTGGTAATTTTAAAAGATGTCATATTACTTTTTTAAAAAGTAAACTTTTAATCTTATCGATATAGGAGGCTAAGACTTAGTTACGAACGATTTATTTATTCATTTAGCCAGCGATTTGACGATGGGAAGTAGAAAAATAGTTATATCGAGTGAAAATATAAAAAATATTACTTTTTCTGATTTTTATTTTTAATTCGACTACTATAAACAAGATGAAGAATCGATGGAACTGTGATGTATGTTGTAGCTTCCATGCGTTGCTGTTCCTAAGGACTGTACTTCCTTATCAAACTGAACACAGCCATGCAAGCTGCATGGCGACAGGCACACGAGTGGCACAGTGGTAATGGTTAAATACAATTTTCATATAATCTCCCTATAGTTTTTTTATTGGGGTTCTGTGGGGTTTAAGCAACTGTACAATACAAATATGGATTTGTAGACTTGTGGGTGAGAGAACATAAGGAACCCCTCTAATTTGTATACATATACATGTATGGCCACATTTTCGGCTAGCCATTTTGGTAATAGCAGTGTAGCGAGCTGGACTAGTGTGGTGACGTGCACAAGGCGCGCTTGGCTGTGAGCGCGCGGTGAGGTCGTGTTGTGTTGTGTTGTGTGGAGGCGGGTGCGTGTGCGAGGCGGCAGAGGGCGCGGCGTGCGCGGAGGCCGCGGCGGCCGGCGACGGCTGCGGCGCTCGCGCCTCCGTCGAGCGCATGCTGGCCTTCGGCCGCGACCTCTACGCCATGAGCCAGAAGCTCACGCAGGATCTCTACCACAAGTCCATGCTGGAGGTCAGTAACGCTAGCCCCGACACTGCACTATTTATTGTTGATAGCATAGCATAAACAACTAGTCAGTCAATTCGGTAAGTCTACAGCAATCCGTTCCGAATTGTCAAGTAATCTTTCAAAATATGTTAAAGGCGTTGAAACACTGTTTTGTTTTTTACAGTATTATGATACAGTCCTTTATTGATTGTCCACTGTTTTTTTTTTTTAATGTATAAAGGCTATAACTTCAAAATCATGTATACTGATTATAAATGTTTGTGCAAAACTAACACTTGCAACACCAAAAATTGTGTTATGAGCGTAGCAATTTTGAGTCATAGTAGGTGTCTAGTAATTTGATAGTTCAAACTTCAAACGGGAACACAGCGTGCAAGCAAAGCAAACTAAGTGGGTTTTGTAGGAAAGTATAAGTGAGATAGAGTTTGATTATCATAACTCTAATATCTCACTACTGATCACGGTTACATACATACATACATATCTGTCACGCCTGTCTCCCATTAGGGTAGGCAGAAACAATGGAACGCCAAATGCTTCGATTCAAACGAACCTCTGATCACGGCTCTCTTCTTAAAAGTGGATTAATCTATTATTTTTAAGTCAAGCAGCTTGGTATATAAAGTGTTTATCTTTATTTGTTCCTTTATCATAAATATTTGATTATCATGTCAATTTTATATTATTTTTCTTTTATATTAATAATCTTCCAGTATGTACTTTTTATTATAACAGATTGCGACTTGTTAATCTTTGTCGGGTGGCCACAATACAGGTTCGCCTGGTGTGAGGCCCAGTGTATCTTGTTTTTATTAAATAGTAAAGTTCTATTTCTATTCGTTTAAGCAACTTCAAGACTTAGGGGGTTCTCAATTCGTTATAATTTGTTTTGACTACAATTTTGGGGTTACATCTTCAACTCTGAGCCGATTTTTATATTTCTTTTTTTTAACAATCATTAAAATCTATTCCAGTATTGTCCCATTTTTTAATTGTTACTATTAAAGCTGTCTTTATTCGATATTGAGTAAAAAATACTTGTTGCTGGGTAAAAGCCACAAGTAAACTTGTAATTCTACGTTCGAAACTCAAATATGTACAATGTTGGGTACCTATAAAACATATCGTTGTGAAGTAAGACGTTCTTTTTAACTATATAACATTCCACGCTGATTTAGATTTTGTCGATGTTCCCAGGACGCGTTCAGTCTGCTGGCATACAGTAACCCATGGGACAGTCCTGTAGGCTGGCAGCTGGAGCCGGTCCGCCGCGAGGCCGTCTGCGAGGCGCTCAACTCGGCCATACTCGGTAGGTGTACCAGAGAGACTCTAAAAGTCATCTGTTTGGTCGCATGGCTGTGTTTAAGTCTAAAATGTGGCATGGCATGGCAGTGTAAATTGCTGAAAACTGCCAGTCGATGCCATCTTTAAATTCAGCGATATTTAATTTAAATAAAATCCTAAGGTTTTAGATTATTGGTGTATTCTATATAAATTGATTAATAAAATTTTTATCTTGTATATATCTGACATGATATGTTCATGCATGTTTTCATAATTGTATCGTTTTGTCCTTTGAATCTAAGGCGATACCTCGACAACAAAAAGTGAACATAAAAACAAATACGCCGGGCTGTACTCTAGAAAAGGTCAGGGTCGTGTAACACTTTCTATTTTAGTACATGTCCTAAAATTTACATAAGCTTAAGGATACATTTAGATAAAATCGTGTCTTTCAGTTTTTTTTTATAGATCTATAAATTTATTATACAGTCTTTAGATATAGACATAAGGCATGGTATAGGTACAGGATTAGTCAAAAACAGCGTATCGACCCAAACAACTCCATAGTGCTCGTGAAACTGAACAGCTTTTCCCACAAACATAGTTTAAATATGAAAATTATATTTGGACCTCTCATACAAAGTTTATTTATTTATTTAACACTTTATTGCACCAAAAACATAAAAATAAACAATGGCATTCAAATTCAACTGAAATACAGTAGTATGAAGTACAGATTAAAATATACACATAAAGATACAAAAGGCTGTCTTATCGCTAGGACAATCTCTTACAGACAACATTTGGTTAAAGGAGAACAGATAGAGGTGGGTAGGTGGCGCTAGATAATAACTTTTACGTATAATGCGCAAAGTTCGTTCGTTGTCATCAATTTATATGAAGAAGCAGCGTCTACAGAATAAAAATTATGTACAATATAGACGAGGGATTCCCTGTAAAATAAATATAAATGGAAAGGGTTGCCAGCTAGGGAGATTTTAATCCCCTTGTTATTTGTTTAAATAAAAAAAGAATAATGTTACGTAAAGCGCTACTCGAATTTCCCTCTCGCTTTTGTAATACTTGAACGTCTCCTAGGGTTTCATGCGTTATAATTTGTACAGTTTTGATGAATTACTATAGAAAACTTTTTCTTAGTGCTCACTTTTATTATGTAGGGAATCCACTGGTCAAAATACTGTGCTTCTCACATTCTGGTTTAGATTTTAGTTATATGTCAGACAGTTGTAAACGAGAAAGATAGTCCTTTTAAATGGATTTGATTCAATTTTGCCGGAGACTGACCGCTCCAGACTGCTGCAGGGAGGTAATAGGCGCACATAACTCACGACAGTACTTTGTGGTTTATTTATAATGTCGGTCCATGGACAGCAGTGGAAAGTGGCTGAAATGATGTTTTTTGTATTGGGGTCGCTAGCTGTTCAGTGTTTACGAACACTGTGGGACGGGGCGGGGCGACGTGTGAGAGTAATCCTGTAGACGCGTAGAGGGTTCCCGGGTGGGTGGGCCGCGGCGGGTATCGTCCCGATTCAACGGGCGTGGTGTTCGCAGAGGCGCAGGGCATGCAGTGGGTGTCGCCGGTGGAGGCGTGCGCGGCGCACTCGCGCGAGCTGCTGCGCCGCATGTCGCGCGCCGGGCTCGGCGCCTGCGCCTTCGCCGACCTGCCCGCGCTGCTGCGCCGCTGACCGCGCCTGCGTCGTCCGCGTCGTCCGCGTCGTCCGCGTCGCTCCCTGCGGCTAGCCGCGCCCGCCTCCACCCGCCATCCGGAAACTTCGCCTGATCACCAGGAAACACCCTGCGGGGCCCGCCTCTAAACTTCGCTGGAACACGAGGAAACCACCTCTCTAGCTGCCTCGCCCGCTCGCCGAATGTGGTTCCAACAACCCTGACCGTTATCTTCTGAGAAGGTGACTATCGAGAGGTGAAGCCAGTCCACGAGATCTACCTCTAGCTGCCTCGTCGGCTCGGCTCGCAGTCCGCTTAAAAAAGTCGACCGCAAACGGTTATTTACTACCTACCTGGGTAGACGATACCAAAAAAGCGAAGCCGCTTCTTCGAGACTTGTCCTACGCTACGCTGTGCCCTCCGCGTCTTCTAGAAGTCAGAAAACTTTCGACTGTTTTGAAAGACTGTTACAAGCAAATAGAACGAGTTTGCGTTGTCTGATACTACCTTTCTACTGTCACTCTCATCGTCGTCTGATCTGGACATTTGGCTGTCTTCGAAGACGATATCCAATAGGCGAGCTACGAGAAAGACCTTTCGACAGGGCTGCCGCGAAGAGGCTGCGATTGAATGTAATAAAACATTTTAATATGTGACTGATAAACATTAAGCCTTAACGGGATATATAAATCATATTCGATGTTGTTAAGAAGCAACGAATTACTAACGTTAACCGACAACAATGTACTCGCAACTCATAGAGGACCTACTTCGTATATTATCGCTTTGTGTACTCGTTGTAATGCTGTGGAGACGGATCGTCGAGAGACTGTACATAAAGATCGATTTAGTGTCCGCGATCTGTGTATATATACATATATATATGTCATACGCACATCCGACGCCTTATGTGAGCAGTGGTTGGCGTGCTGTGCGAGTCGGGAGTGTGCTGTGTTGCAGTGGTGCGGCGGTCGCTCAGCGGCCGCTCGTTCGGTTTCGTTTTGTAGAACGTTCTTTTGGCGAACCTCCGGTCCTAAGTTGTTATTGTATCGTAGAAGTTAACGTAGAACGGTCTAATGTATGATTTTTTTTTACGATGTTGCTATGTGATGTCCGTATGTCGAGTTATTCAAATCAATAATTTTTTTTTTGTATTAAGTTTATAAAATACGTAAGACTTTTTTTTATGAACGTGTTGTTTGGGATCGCTTGTTCGTTGCCGGCTGGCGCCCAGTTGTCACGCTTTGTCGAGTCTTTTTTATATTTATGAGGTGTATGAGATTTATATATATATATATATATGTTTAATATAAATAAATATTTAAAGTGTGCTCCATAATGACTTCAACGGTACGGACGTTGTAATATATGAGTTTATATTATAGAATCGAATATAGATATAGTGTGATGTGTTGGATTCACGGACTATGCGTTGTATATTGTCTGTCTCAGTTATGTTACTATAGATATGTCGGTAGAGTTATAAATAATATTGTATCGGGTGACACGGGGCACTGTTGGTTTAATCGTAAAATAAATTTAATTCATTAGTGCTTGTAATGGCGGACCTTTACACCGATAATGTATGGTGTGAGGCGTGGACTAGGCGCTACGTTTTATTCTGTGGCGTTCTTAGTACGTCTCTGGTTTTGTGGTACTCTGTGGCCTGATTTCCCGCGCTTTTCGCTGTCAGCTGCTTGTCCCTGTCCGCGCCTCTATGTTGAATAGCTGACTTTTTAAATTGTATTTGGCGTGATTATGATAAAAAAAGGCTCTCTGAGTTTCAACAGTGCCACCGATTTTAGTAAGTAGCTATATATGGTAATTGAGAGGGGAGATCGTTCGCGTAGTGGTAGTAACGTAGATTGTTATGTGACCGCTGCCATTACAGACGGGCGTGTCTGGCTGTGAGGGCGGCGGGAATGTATGGTGACGTCATGGGCTGAGGCTACTTGTATGGGACACACAAACTTGCTTATGTGAGATATTCAAAAAGGCTAAATTGGTTTGTAATACTGATTGTCTATAAACATCTTTTAAAGTAGCACATTATACGCTTTCAGGAATATAACAATTTTACGATTGAATGCTATATTTCACAGGTACATTATTGACACCAGTGGATACTATATTTAAAGTGAAATAGAAACATTTTTAAACAAGGTTTATATGTATTTTTTTCTTGTAATTTTTTGAGTATTTATTCGTTTTGCATAAGCAAGTATGTTTGTCGAGGCGGTTACCTAATTTTACTTGTAACAAAATAGCAATACGTTGTGCGACGTCAAATGACGATTCATTTGTAAATAAATAGTTTGGGGATTGCAGTAATGTTACAAGTGAGTTACCCGTTTGTCGCGAGCGAGCGTGAATGTGCGTGGAACGCCAACGCCTGCGAGCGGGCGGCGGCGCGAGCGGCGAATACTAAATACATGGGCATTTTGCATTATATTCTAGTACAGGCTGCGCTAGATAAGTGCTAGAAGAATCGATAGATATGTTTACGCTACCGCATGCATGTGAACGAACGAGGCAACGATGTCGTCTTGTTTTTTTTTTGTGTGTGGCAGCGTAGAATTATCTTCCGACACATTTTGCTACGTCAATGTTAATATTTTTTTTTTTAATGACAAGTTTGGTAGTTTATAACAAATGATAATTTAATAGATCGGTTAATTCTGACATATATCAATATAGAATTGTCCATTATTATATTTCTAATCGCAAAAATTTACCTTCGTATGTGAATTAATAAGTTTTAAAATAGTTTCACCATAATATCTTCGGTACTGGTTTATTTGCTTCCTTCTTGCTCATCTCTTACTATATCCTGAGGACGGAGAGACGTCTCAATGTATTCTTACTCCTGTATCTAAAGGAAATGTCTTTATCTATACAAAACAATAAAAGAAACGATAGAAAATAGCCAAAAAATTCAATTGATCGGTCTATAAGTATATACTGTGACATACATACACACGGGCTGCTAATGTCCGCCGCAGAATATGCGTACGCCGCTCGCAGCGCCCGCCACACTCCAAATGTAAACATAATTCTTACAATATTGTTCTTATATTGTATTGTTTTCTTTTTTTTTTAATAATATATTGTGTTTAAACGGCTCCTGTGTTTAATTTGCCTCGGTTCCATTGTTTAAAATTACAATACGGAATTCGTACAAAATCCTAACAATAAAATATTAAGAAAAATATTGCCTTTTGTTTTTTTTTTTATACAACTTAGAATGGCAAACAAGCTGACGGCCCACCTGATGGAAAGTGGTAACCGTCGCCTTTAGACATGAGCAGTAGCATGGACATAACAGAGTGTACTGTTTCGCCCATGATGCCATGCCCCATGCATTGCCATTCCTAAGGATTCAGATGTTATTCCTCTGTATCCAGTAAATACTCGCCATATCCCACCCTTCAAACCGAAACACAGTTATCCAAACACAACTGATTCACGGTAGAAACACGAATGGGACAGAGGTACCCAAGCAATCGACTTTAGTACTCTATAAGTTCGCTATTTACAAGGTGCAGAAATGGATATTTTTCATTTTATACAGAAGCGAAATAATTGTCAGGGATGGCGAAGTACATATGTTAACTTATTTAAGATTATTTTTCATGGGAAGGGGGGGGGGGAGGAGGGTTTGGCCTCTTTAAAAAGGCTCATATACTCATTCAGATCTGTTTGCAAAGCTTTGCTTACATAATGGCGTCGGCAAACTATTTAGGTATAAGTACGGCCTACTCCGTCCTTTTAAATACGTCTATGGAGGGGCGGGGGGTGATTGTTAATAATAACTGTTCAGGTATTTCCTAATAGGCCTAATATTCCCTAATAAATTGGTCGTGACGGGCTAACAAATCTGCTTTCGTCCTCACTATCCTATCCTACCTATTCCACCGGTGCCCGCCAGCGTATACCGATGGCGACGGCGTTACTGCCCCGTCTCCATTGTTACCAATCCATTATCCCAGATTTCCATTGCATATAAAAAAACATAACGTATAACTATAGTAAATTTAACAATATAATAAGAATAATATATAATAACTGCCATAAAGATTAATAATTCTTTATGGTAGTCTATTCTATGGGGGAGGCCTATGTTCGGCAGTGGACGGATAATGGCTGAGGTGATGATGATGATGATGATGCTGCTGATGATAATATATTATTTGTTGGCAATACTGGTTAAAATGTAAATCGTTTGTGATAAGCTCTAAACTGGCCTACAGCTATTGAACAATATGGCCGGCATATCTACGGGTTTACATGAGAATAACCGATGGGTGTAGCCCACCGAAACAGCCCAGATAACCTCCTAAACATATTATTTTATTGTACTTTGTGTTTTTTTTGTCAAATAATAATAAATTTCTATACAATCGGCTTCGTAATATTTTGCTGAGATAGACTAGCTGTGTTCCTCGGCGATGTCCGTGTGATTTAGTATAAAATGTTCCTATATTAACTGAAGTAAGTTTTTTTTTAAATGGCTGTTCTTCATGGACTTTCCAGGTAATGTGATTGTTTTTTTTTTGGATAATTATCTCTATTATTTTGGACGTGGCATAGTACGATCAATTGTAGAGAGTTAATAGACATCTTTTTGCTTGATCATATTCAGGGATTATATTGTTTCTGTGTTCGCTTAGGATGGATGTAGAAAAAAAAGCATATTAATTTTTATTCAAATCCATTCAACCATTTATTGAGAGAAAGAGAAAGTAGACATACAAATGTTTTGGGTACTTACTTATTATAAGAGGGCCTTTTCACTTTTGAAATAGTATGACGTACCAGCGTGACATTGAAATCGTGAATTGCGCGGGAAAATGAATGTGTGTAATTGGATTGGGATGACATCGACATTACATCGAAATACGTTAAAAATAAAGCCCTTATTCATAAAATCTGCAAACTTATTTTGAGTGTTACACTATTTTGTCACTTTCTTTTAAATTAGAAATTAAGTACAAAATAAAGAGACAAAACAGCTCAACAGCTAAAGTAGGTTTTTGACAGGTTTAGCTTTTTATGAATAGGGTTAAGTCTATTCGATGTGATTTCGATTCAATTTTAATTCGATTATATAAAAAAATTTAGTTCAAATCGGGACATCTTCCTTTACTTGTTTATTTTCAAGTAAGCTAAAAAGTCACTACGTTGATTAAATATCGTGACATCACACCAATTATTATTTACCTACTAGCGACCCTGCGTGGAAAGGGATTGTTAGTAATGGAAACTGAGAATCCCATTGCTAGTAATATACCCAAACAGGTCGACCTCCTTGCGGTTCCCCCTGGAAACTATCATGATTAATTCCTAATGAATTCATCATGATGTGCTAACTGGCCTGTTTTCATTCTCATCGATCACCCTTCACTGGTGCTCCGCCAGCGTATCCCGTTAGCGCAGGCGGGGTTACCATACCATTTTCACCCAACAAAAAAAAAAAAAAACTAGCGACCCTAAAATACCACACGAAACCCTTTTGCCACCTGTTTTTGACAATGGAAGAATTTTTAAAATAAGGTTATATCTCCTATAAACAAATATGAAATCTTTCTTCATTACCATATAGATACCATTTAGATCAAATCGACTGTACACATTGGTTGCAGTGCGTAGATAGAGCCAGTGCTTGCCGCAGGCCCATTTCAGGACAGGTCGAGGTCTTGTCCATAACCGTGTGTGCGTGGCATCGACTGACAATATCCATGCTCGTTTGACACTGCACTGCACTAGGAATTTTTAATATATGTATTTTTATATTATTTTTTTTTAGATGTTTGACGTAAATTCTAATATGACAGTGATTCTTTATATATTGTTGAGAAAGTAATCTACACATTTCTTAATATGGCAACTTTATTAGTCTATGTTTGATGTATGTAGAGTGATGCTCTCTGGTTCTTGGCTGATGGCTTTCGCCAAAGTCACAATAAATGCTCTCTGGTTGCTGTCTGGTAATTGTAAGAAAAGAAATATGTCGCCTGTAATAAATTGTATAACTTAAATATATTAATAAATATATAAATATGGATAATATGTCTAAATATAACAATAAATACTCTGCAAAATTACTACAAAATAAAATATATAAATAATGACAATTTTTACTAATTATTATATAATTTTTTAAGATCAGTTTATTAATGGATGATAATGGAATGGTAACCCTGTCTGTGCTATATATGGTGTTATTATTTTCTTTTAATGGGTGATAATGGAATGGCAATCCCGCCCGCGCTATTGGTATACAACGACGAGGCATCAGTGGAAGATGATAGATGAGAATGAATGCAGGTCAGTTGGCCCACCATGTTGAATTCGACAAAATTCCTCATGATAGTTTCCAGGGGGAACCGTGTGGAGGTCGACCTGAGATCACTAACAATTCGTTTCCCCGCAGTGTTATATGTTGGCGGGGTATCAGTGCGGGATCAATTCGGGACAGTCGGTCCATTGTGACAAATTAGCTGAGAATTAATCACACTGGTTTTCCTTCCCTCATTATAGAACAGACGAGAGGTTCATAGTATTTATATGTAGGTAAAATAGCTACTGAATATTCGTAGTGATTCTACCTCGTGATCGGTACATTTTGATTGTCCCATATTTTTTTTTATATCACTGATGTAGCAAACAAGCATACGGCCAGCCTAATAAGTGGTTACTGTAGTTACGTCTGCAATGCCAGGGGCATTACGCGCGTGTTGTCGACTCTGAGAATAATAAATAAGGTAGCAACTGTTCTTTTTTCCAAATAAATACTATGCGTAATTCAAATTTTATGACGATTAGTTCAGCCGTTGAAGAGACGGTAACAAATAAATACACTTAACCATTTATAATATATTATAGTAGGATATTAGAAGGGAATAGATTTATTTAGAATAATTATATGTTTTCAACCGATTTAAAAAAAAAGAGCAAGTTCTTAATTCCTCTATGTTTATATATCTCATAATTCCGTGATTAATAAAGCAACTAAGACAATTCTTGTTTTATCTGAAAGGATATACAGTCAGATTGATCATATAAAAGTATTATTAAAATTGGTTTAGTATTTTACTTATTAAATTAATATAATCGGGTTTGCCTTGATCGAAGTCGGCGTTTTTTAAGGCAAGTCAATTATTTACTTGCACAAACATAGCTTGCATACATGATATTATATACAAAATTAAGATCGCCATGTTCCGTCGTTATGGGGCATACAAATATAACAAAGTCCCTCACCAAAATCATTAAATACAATCATCAATTCAAGAAATATAATTTTTGAATAATAACTATTAATAAAAAGTTCTGTGTATATTAGTAGGTACCTAGACAGGTATATAGTATGGTATATACAGCTCGGTGTGTACGAGAAATATGCGCATTTCATTTTTATTACGCCTCTGCGTTACAGAATGCATCATTAAAATGATTGGATTGCTCCCGCAGATAACGAATCATTGAATAATTATGATAATTGTCGAAAAATTATTGAGGAACAAATTCTATAAATTTGGCAGCACAGGCGTCCCGGGGGCGGCGGGGCGGCGGGGCGGCGGGGCGGCGGGGCGGCGGGGCGGCGGGGCGCGGGCGCGGGCGGTCCGTCCGGGCCCGGGCGTCCCCTCGCGGGTCCGTCGATTATTGGTAATTTATGTCGCCAACCGGCTTTGATAAAATCGTTAAATTCGCGACCCGAATGAATTTAATTTTGCCTTTTTATTTTATGAGCACCTCGCGTCGTCCGCCATTCGTATTATTTTCCCATGTGATTTTAAATATTATTGTAGGCCGTTATTTATGTTATGGCCATTGGCCCTGTTGCAATATGTATGGTATTTTTGCTGGGGATGTGCTGTGGATTTTTGATGTCCATAAATCTGTAAAACGGAGAGCCATTTTTGTAATTTTATTGTGCATAATAATTTTGAGGAGATTGGTACAAATTTTTTTTTGATGCATGAAACGGAATGGAAATCCTGCCTACTTTTTGTTTAGATGCTCTGCCGGCGTAGGTAGCGGTGAAAAAGAATCAGGTCAGTCGGCTCATCGTGATGTATTTCCCAGTAATTAATCACGATGGTTTCCAAAAGGGACCGTG